ATGAAGTATTTTAATGAAGATTGGTTATTGTTGATTACGACTGATCATGGAAGAGATGCAAAGACTGGAAGAGAACATTCGCGGCAGTCGATTCGAGAACGAACGACTTGGATTATATCAAATACGAAAGAAATGAACCAATATTTTTATGATTTTCAACCCGGCATCGTCGATATTTTACCGACGATCGCCCGTTTTTTAAATTTCACCATTCCAATCGAATCCGAACGAGAACTTGATGGAATACCTCTAATAGGCAATGTATCTCTAACGAATCCAGTGATCCATCTCAATGGAAGCGCATTAAACATCAGTTGGACAATGCTGAACAACATCGGAAATGTTTCAATATGGATTTCAGAGAAGAATTTGTTTAGAAAAGGTCTGATGGATAATTATACATTGATTAGTACAGTTCCAATTGATCAACAAATGATTAACATTGATCTTGACAATTATTCATCATATTTTTTTAAAATAGTACTTGAAGGACAATTCAATTCAGTAAACAAATGGATATTCCGACCGTGGTATCGAAATCAGACCATTTCTTAGGGTTATTTTGTTTTTTATTGAATAAATTAGACTAATTTTTTTTCTGCAATTCAGAATAACGAATCAAAAAACGATCCATAGCACTAATACATCACTCGGGCAAGTCACTATGAAAAAAAAAACATTTTTCAGACAGAATCCAAATATCGCATGTCTAGTTGATGCGAAATACCGAACTGACTCATTGATGGTTAATGTCACTGACAACTAACAGAGCTCTTATGGGATTTATTTTAATCTCATTTACATTCTAACATTCAAAATATCATCCTTTTTTCTCGATGTATTGCATTTTTAAAAGGAAGTATTGATCATCATTTGGTTGTTTTCTAACAAAAAAGCGAATCATCGATGTCGCGTTTCATCGAACATGATCCAACAAGCAATGAATTAACACCTTTGGATGGATATTTGTTGAAACCGTTGGTATCACTGGAAGAATCATTGAAAGAAATCCTTCCTCAGATAGATCAATTGGAACAATTGATAAAAACTGCCATAGAAAACTGTCGCTATCCAAACAAACACAATTTAACCAAAGATGAATCTGCTGCTCTTTATTTATATTCGATAGAATGTGGTACTGGAAGTTTTTATCGGATATTCAACCAAGCTCTTCGTTCAGAGAATCGTTCAGCTCTTGTGCCATGGTTTTCTTTCCTGAAATTATTTCACACTGCCTTGAACAAACTCCCCGTGGTTAAAGGAAATATCTGGCGCGGTCTTCGTGAAGATGTCAGCAATATGTATTATACCGGGTTGGAATTAACTTGGTGGAGTGTCAATTCATGTTCGTTATCGATCAACATTATCAAACATTTTCTCGGTCCAACCAGTACGTTGTTTTTGATTGAAGCTGAAAACGGACGAAATATGTCGGGATATACCAAATTCGAAAATGAGAATGAAGTTATTCTACCACCAGGTACCCGTCTTCGAGTTGTAAGCAATGCACTTGATCATGATGGAGGCCTTCATGTGATTCACACAATGGAAATAACCGAGAATAAATTCGCTCGTCATCAGGTGTTACATGCATTGAAGAAGAACAAGTTCTTGATGATATGTGGGTTGACAATGATGGCTATTGTGATTATTTTAGCGTGTCTTGGAGGACTTGGATATTTTAATGAGAAACAAGTGAAAAACAAAACTGAGTATGAATGTTCATTTGAGAAATTCCCAAAGATCTGTTCCTTTTCTTTGCAGTAATTTTGCTGATCCTGGGTGGGATCAAAATTCAACTCAAACGGGAAAGTCAATCTTTTGCCATCAATGGGGAGTTGTTCGTTCGTGTGCGAGACAAAACTGTACTCAAATCAACGAAGTACATCGTAATAACCCTTATATATCTGATTGTTACACGTTTGGAGACACAATGGTTGATGGTCCAAATCACACGAATAAATGGTTTCGGTTGAATTCGTCCTATCATACTGATGGTTACGTCAGTGGTTTGCATTGCTCGGGCAGTGTTGGACCGTGTGAATCGATCCAGTAGCGAGAACATCGACATGTCTACAAGTCACAAACGGTGAACGTTTGAGTAATTCGTTTAAAAACTTTTGATTTCTATTTTTGTGTTGAATAAATGATTGCAAATACGTTCATTTATGGCTGTAGGATTTTGAGTGAAGGCGTTCGACCCACACCTATATAATCAAAGGTTTATTCTCTACTAAGAACGATATTCGATCGTTGGAGTGAAGTGTGCTTATAATTATATTCGTTTAGAAGTCGAACAAAAATATTTACACAAAGTAATCGGATGATGTGCAAACTTCTCAAGTGAATAAAAAGCATTATTCATATTAAGAAGAGTCGAAAATATCCTATATCAAAATCAATAGGAATTCGCTTCGTATTTATGAAGATATTTTACTCTGAATCACAGTACAAATTGAATTTCATTTTCGAGCGATGTCCAGGTAGAATCACTTGTTCAAAAGAAAAGTATAGGCAAGCTTCTTTGTTTAGTTGGGCTTGGATATTTTGGTTGCTAATCCATTGCTCGTGTGTGATTCTACAAACACAAGGAAAACAATGGATTCTCGTTGATTCACCATCGTCGAAAGAAGATCCGTCGGAGCGTAAATTAGTTGCGCATTGTCGAGATGGGAAAAAGAATGGCGACGAAACCGACACTGATTGTGGTGGATTGAAATGTGCCAAATGTAACGATACGATGCGTTGTAAGAATCATGATGATTGTCTCAGTAGTTATTGCAAAAACAAAAAATGCTCGAGTAAGTCATTTTCGATTATGAATATAGACAAGACATTTCGGAATGTTTTAGTTTTGGAAACCTGTGAGGATAATATTAAAAATCAGGACGAACTCGATGTGGATTGTGGTGGACGTGTATGTCCAAAATGTGAAGATCGAAAGTATTGTCGAGAAAATTGCGATTGTTTAAGTAATACTTGTCACAATAATACCTGTGTTTGTAAGAAAACGGATATATCTGAAACGAATTCATTGAATCATTCTCGTATTCTTTAGCGGCGGAGACGTGTAAAGATGAAATCAAAAATCAGGACGAGACTGATGTCGATTGCGGAGGCAGCATATGCCCGAAATGTGAAGATTCAAAGAAATGTACTAGTGATTGTGATTGTGTTGGTAATAGCGCTTGTGTTAACAATACATGCGTTCGTAAGTCACAGAGAAGAATGTTGACTTGATAGTTCATATATTCTTTAGCTAAATGTACTCCGGAATGTAAAAATGATGGTATATGTGTTGCACATAACGTCTGCAATTGCACAGCGGGCTTCAGCGGCCCAACCTGTGAAGTTCGTAAGTATACTTTCCACAATGTTCGATTATATTTGTTTGTTTTTGAGAATCAATCGGTTTATGTCATGATAATGATACCATGGGTACAACTCCTATCCTCTTAGTCACATTTGACAAAGGTGCACCACAATTTTCCAAAATGACTCCAGGCCAATTCAACTTTAGTACAACATATAAACAACGGTTTAAACCCACAGTTGAAGATGGACATTTCAGTTTTATTAATTCAGTGTATAAACATTATCAACATGCATGGCATACTGGAGCAACTGATCATACAGGTGATACTAACGGATATATGCTTCTGGTTAATGCAGATTTTACACCAGGCGAATTTTACAAAGGACAAGTGGAGAATTTATGTGTTGGCTTACGTTATGAATTTTCGGTTTATTTGGCCAATGTGCTTCGGCGAACTGATCAAATCAAGCCAAATGTTCGTTTTGAGGTTCGAAGTCCATCAACTGGAAATCGATTGCTGGCTCAACTGCGTTCTGGACCGATTCCCGTCGACAAATCGTTACAATGGAGAAAATATGGTTTATCATTCACAGCACCGAGTAGTTCAGTTGTTCTCTTGATGATTTCCGATGCTCCTGGTGGTGCAGGAAACGACATTGTTATTGATGATATTGCACTGCGTGTCTGTTCACATGATGGTACTGGATTTTGTCCTTCTACTGAACAGAATGACGATTGAATAGACTATCTCTAATCGCTTACGAACTTTGTCCTTTGTCACCTTAACCAATAAATGGGGTTGGCTTTACCACAAAAATCGAAAAAAAATGTTATAGACGCGCTTATAACACTCTGTAAAAGCACAAGAATTAGGTTAAAAAAAAAGAAAGAACACTGGTGACCGCCTGCTTATTTACAGTTGATAACAAATATGATTGTTAAAATGCTATTTCACGTTGAAATTTTGAGAGAGAGAGCCTCCGAAATCATACTTTGATGTAGATGAATATATTTGGTAATAGACAGTATTGATTGTAAGTACATATGGATTCAACAGTGAGACAAATTTTGTGTATAGTAAATCCATATGAGAACTGAGCGGCAACTACACTGAATAAAGACGAAAATGCTATTTGCGTTATCATCATTTGTATCGTCTTTGCTCACAGCATCCGAAACCATTTTTTACACTTCATTTTGTTTTGCTCATCGAGAAGAAGCAGCAGTCAAACTATATCGAATACTCATACATGATGGTCACTTTGGACGTCTCATTTTTGGGGCAACGGCCTTATGTAGATAATCTTCGTTGAAAAATCTCAAGACAAAATGTTTGTTTGCNACGAAAATGCTATTTGCGTTATCATCATTTGTATCGTCTTTGCTCACAGCATCCGAAACCATTTTTTACACTTCATTTTGTTTTGCTCATCGAGAAGAAGCAGCAGTCAAACTATATCGAATACTCATACATGATGGTCACTTTGGACGTCTCATTTTTGGGGCAACGGCCTTATGTAGATAATCTTCGTTGAAAAATCTCAAGACAAAATGTTTGTTTGCTCCATGAATACTGGAAAGGGTTTAATGAAACTATTCATGAGCATGAAAAGTTAGTTAGAAGTATAAAGTTTTGTCGTATATTTCCAACATTAGGGTTCGCAGTTAGATTAGAGAACAGCTCTTCTTGTCAAAAATAAACACTACACTTATCTTCGCTAGAACTGATGTTGATTATTACATAGCACAATCCACTTTAAGTTTAAGTATGGGTTTTTTTTCTATCAACGTTCCATTTCAGCGAAAATCGTGAGTTATATATTTGCTCTACCACGAAGAATCGTACTTTTCTCAAATAAGTAGAGAGTTTATGACATACATGCTCAAAGACTTCACCAAAGATTTACTTGTAGCTCTTCTTTTCAAAAATAGATCAAGTCGATCAATAACTCACATCAAATGAGATTTGTGCCGACGAAGTCTGCCGCGTGAACTACAGTTTATACCACGTATTTCGAACATCGGAGAGTGTAAGCAGATTTTCGAAAAACAAATTTGTCGATGATTTCGTGTAGAAGTCCGAAATGTCAGATGTTCAGAAATCTTTTGTCTAAAAATGATGTAGATATGAGCAGAAAGGCTATCCAAAGTCAGCAATGTAGACCCAAATTCACCACCAAGCAAGACTCGATGGATTCATGCGAAATCTCCTAATACGAGTGCTCATTTTACACACCCATCCATTCAGAGAGGAATGCTGGTTATTTACTTAGAATTTCACTTTACGGATTCCATGACGAAATTGTCACAATGTTTTTCCGTCGCGGGTTTCGTAGAAGACATTTGAGCAGGAGGTTCGGAAAAATAAAGTGTCGCGAAACATATTCTGGTGAATTCTGTAGAAAGTAATTGCTGTAGTGATTATGAGGAGCATTAGATCTTGGTTGATGGTGAAATTTGTTCCCATATATTTTGGTGTCCTCAATTATGATCTGACTATATGACGGCAGGAATGCCATTGCGATCGGTCAGTTAGCCATTAAAGATTCAATTGACCTTGAGAAAGGGTTTTATCACGTAAGGAAAGTTGGCAGGATATTCGAGTTATTTTGCCAATATTCATTTCAGTATCTGTGCTGGTGTTTCAAATGGTTGTGTTGAACTCAGAATTTGATTCTCTATCGAATGATGTAAGTGTCGAAGGGTTTCATCGCAGGTGAGGATCTGAGTGTGGGTGTGGGTGAGGGTGTGGATGTGTGGGTGTGATAATTTTTTTGTCTCGATAACCCATGTCGAAAAATACATCATTCGATAGAGAATCAAATTCTGAGTTCAACACAACCATTTTTAGACTCAGCACAAGTTCTCAGACGAATATTAGCAAGAATTACAAATTTCTGAAAGACCAGAAAACCCATTGTTTCGTCAAAAACTTGGGTTTTTGGTCGGTGATCCATACCGAAAACCACACCATTCGATAGAGAATTTAATTCTGTATCCAACACAACCATTTAAAACACCAGCACAGATACTGAAATGAATATTGGCAAAATAACTCGAATATCGTGCCAACTTTCCTTACGTGTTTTATCGTGTTTTTTAGAGTACGATGCGTTCTTTCTTTCTTGTGCTGAAGATTGTTAGCGGTGAAGTGTGTGTTTCTTCTGGATTTCGAATGATACGCATGAGAGCTGTAGTACGATTTGCTGTCTGAACTTGGGCGAATATGCTCTTTTTGAGGATAGTGCGATTCCACTACACGAGAGCGGTAATCACACAGTTAGCAGAGTACAAGCGTGCGTTTGTGGCAAATTTAACAATACATACTATTTTCCGTAACATTGCACTTTATTAGATGTGCCTCATTTACGAGTTGATATAATATACTTAATGGAAGTACTAAAGCTAAAAATGGTAGATATATTACTTGACGGTGTTTCATTGAATTGTTGATAGACGGACATCCTATTTCACACCAACATAAAATCATTCCAATATGCTCCAAATCGTGAAAGTGGGATTGCGCTCAAATTCTCCCGTAGATGCACATTGCGAACTATTCCACGTATCTGCACTTCAAATCCACATAGAGTCAAAATGTCTAGAAAGATGACTTTCTCTTCCCAACGCATTTTGTCTTCCGTTAACGAACAGCAAATTTTGTATCTTGTTCCAAACTTTTCTGAAATGAATCTCGAGCCACATTTAATAGAAGGAATGCTTTCTATACATCTATTCACATCCACCGTTTATCTCGCCCGCTCCAAATACTCGACTTCACCTGTATGTGCCGCAAACAGCTTACCACCCAAAACCACTATTTCCATCGGACAAGCAACTATCATTATCAATACTATAACCATAATCATTCCAATGACATTTTATCATTTATGACATCAATGAAAAACAACAACTCCCCGTGCAGTTCAATCCTGTCAGCCTCAATTATTTCATAAAAACCCTCGTATTAGGACAATTAAAAGTTACTTCGTAGGTTATCCTGACAAACGCAGTGATCATATCTCTCATGAATTACGCCTAAATATCTATAATAGCCTACACTCCACCATCTCACTCAACATCACATCAAACACGAACATTCCTCACGAAACTGCAGTTCACCTCTCTTCATCACCCTCACACAACTCAACACACTCCACTATCTCACTCAACATCACATCAAACACGAACATTCCTCAGGAAACTGCAGTTCACCTCTCTTCATCACCCTCATATAACCCAACGCACACCACCATCTCACTCAACATCACATCAAACACGAACATTCACCACCACTCTGCAGTTCACCCCTCTTCATCACCCTCACACAACTCAACACACTCCACCATCTCACTCAACATCACATCAAACACGAACATTGATGATAACACTGCAGTTCACCTCTCTTCATCACCCTCACACAACTCAACACACTCCACCATCTCACTCAACATCACATCAAACACGAACATTGATGATAACACTGCAGTTCACCTCTCTTCATCACCCTCACACAACTCAACACACTCCACCATCTCACTCAACATCACATCAAACACGAACATTACTCAGGAAACTGCAGTTCGCCTATCTTCATCACCCTCACACAACTCAACAAACTCCACCATCTCACTCAGCATCACATCAAACACAAACATTCACCATCACTCTGTAGTTCACCTCTCTTCATTACCCTCACACAACTCAACAAACTCCACCATCTCACTCAACATCACATCAAACACAACCATTACTCAGGAAACTGCAGTTCACCTCTCTTCATCACCCTCAAACAACTCAACAAACTCCACCATCTCACTCAACATCACACCAAACACAAACATTCACCATCACTCTGCAGTTCACCTATCTTCATCACCCTCACACAACTCAACAAACTCCACCATCTCAATCAACATCACATCAAACACGAACAGTCACCAATACACTGCAGTTCACCTCTCTTCATCACGCTCACACAACTCAACAAACTCCACCATCTCACTCAGCATCACATCAAACACGAACATTCACCAAAACACTGCAGTTCACCTCTCTTCATCACCCTCACACAACTCAACACACTCCACCATCTCACTCAACATCGCATAGTGTTTGGGGGCGTGTAACATGTTGCGCCACGGTAATGTTCTGGTATAACTTCATAGTGGAGTTAGGTGGACTGATAGGGTTTGTGGTGGAATGTATGGGGATAGATGAATGCGGAGTACCATTTTGATGTTCAGATAGTATGCAATGTTAAGCGAGGAAGAGTTTAGTTATTATAACAAATTATGCATCACGTTTATTTTGAATGAGTTGAACGACATGATTTATCAGTGAACGTGTAAGACGCATGTCTGGATTGAGTTTTAAATAGCGGTAATTGTTTGATGTGGTAAATGAATGGATATAACGTTTGAAGTATTTGTAATATTTATCAAATCGTGTAGGTTTTGCTCGCGAAGTATACAGAAGTCAGTGAATGAATGCTTCCCGGTAGGTGACGTTTATTTTGAACGACGTTGATCATGGCTCGGGTCATTTACTACTTTGTCCAAAAGCGAGTACTACAATGGAAATGGATGTGAAAGTGTAAATGGTTCTGGAATAAATAATATTGATAGTTAATTCGGATTTTGTAGTGAAGTATAATAGAGCACGTTGCAAGATTGTGGGGGAAAATCGATGCGGTATATGAACAATTTACAGATACCGCTTCGAGTCTTTTGAAGTCCAATATTTTTGTTCAGAAACTTTGTAGTGCTGAGATCGGATGCTAAGAATATGTTGTATCGTAAGATTATGTGACAAGTGATGCTGCAGTATTGCGACAATTATTTTGTACAGGTATTTTGGAATTCCTATATCGAAGATATATAAATGTAACGCTTGAGAAAGTTACGCTTGAATCGAACAAAATTGATTCTGTTCATAGCGTGCGCATATTTCTGTGATCATATATCAGATCCATATCTCAAAGCTCATATTCCGGGACCATATGAAGAAAGAACTGCTATTATCCACTTCCAACTTTTTTCATGGTATTGTTCATTTATATTGTACACAAGACACAATTCAGTTCGTCGAAACCTGTTTGGTCACGTGTGTTGATCAAATGAATGTTTATTATCAGTCGTTTCTGTTCGTTAATAGTGTCGTCATTGGTATCAATGGTTTTACTTAATTACGTGTGAGTATTGATGTGAAGATGTGAATAAGTTCAGTAGTACGATCTGTGCTAAATTTCAGCTCTTTAAACGAGAGTAAATCAATGATAATATACTGATTGGGGACCATATGGTGAGTGAATATCTGTTTACCAATCAATATTCTATTCTTCTATCCGATCTGACTCTCATAAAACATTCTGTATTTACTTCACTGGTTGCGGATTATATGAAAAATGAATAATTGTGACGACATTTACCGCATCTACTGCAAGGGCGGCCTTTACACCAGAGGTTCTCGTAGGTACCAGGTGCTTTAAATTCTTGGTGTTCTATATATAAAAATGTCAGTATAAAATTCATTCGAGAATGATATTTTCATTTTCGGATTAGCTTTCGTGTTTTAAACGTGAGAAATAGAAATCTACCTACTAACATAATTATTTTCTGTGTCGGATTGATTTCTGAGTGCAAAAGAAAATTTCCACTAATCATACCTTTCTGTGCTGGTTTAGTGCTTGGCTTTGGGGAACTAAAAAGAGACACGTTTTTATGTATATATTATCTGTATAGTTCACTTCACAAAACTCAGTAAGTAAAATCTTACGTTGTGAGTACATAATTCAGATATTACATCAACGAGCTGTAATAGCACTTCATCCTTTTACTATCGTACCTGTGTATTGTTTTGGTCACTGGTGGTGGTGGTGGATAAGGTACAACTATTTTGGCTGGTTTTGGAGGGTCCTAAGATAAAGAATGATTTAATGTTTGTAAAACATTCTCAAATATTTCAAAATAGATGATTACTTTTGACACAGGTTCTAACAGTGGGTATGCTGGATCGATTTCGCGAAGTTGTATCATGTAGAGGCCACCGGATTGATTGAGACATGCAACAACTAGAAATTGTCGAGCAGGTAGAAGAAGAATTTCGTTTTCGGTTTTGTACTGGGAGTGTTGTTGAATATCCTTCCCACTCTTGCATTCAATTGAAAAAAATGTTCTTGTTCCAGTTGAACCCAAGAACTGATCATTTTTCAAAACATCCATCGTTGTTGTACAGGAGCTGAATCCCCACCAGATAATGGTATCCCCTGTCGTGTACTGCTGTCGCATATCACATTTAACTCCTCGATAAACCGTACGTTGTTCAGAGGGCAGACGTGATAATGCGGTCAGGACCAGTTTCAAGTAAAGGAACCATGGAACTAGTTTTCGTCGATTTTCTTCACGAAGAGTTGCATTTAATACAAAATAAAGGCATTCTCCCTGTGGTTCCCACTCCATTGAGTACAAAATAATCGCAGCCGATTCATCCGTCGTTAGATCATCAGCTGGGGGACTAGCGCATTTCATTTTGGCTACATATGCCATGCGTTTGACATCGGGGACGAATTGAACTAGAGGTTCAACAGCTTCTTCTAACGACACCACGGGCTTTCTCTCGTAACCTTGAATGGGTAAGAGCATTCGACGAGGTTCCCCAGTTATGTCAGAGAAGCGAAGATGATGTTGGAAGTCATCATCTTCAGAATACTTAGCTGCCATCTTACAAAAGTAAAAATAATACTAATCTTAAACAGAAAGAAAAATTCGCTCATCATAGATCTATGATCGAGAGATTTCTAACTATAGACTATCTTGGAAAAAGCCCGTAAATACNNCTCTTCATCACCCTCACACAACTCAACACACTCCACCATCTCACTCAACATCACATCAAACACGAACATTGATGATAACACTGCAGTTCACCTCTCTTCATCACCCTCACACAACTCAACACACTCCACCATCTCACTCAACATCACATCAAACACGAACATTCACCACCACTCTGCAGTTCACCCCTCTTCATCACCCTCACACAACTCAACACACTCCACCATCTCACTCGACATCACATCAAACACGAACATTGACGATAACACTGCAGTTCACCTCTCTTCATCACCCTCACGCAACTCAACACACTCCACCATCTCACTCAACATCACATCAAACACGAACATTCACCATTAATCTGCAGTTCACCTCTCTTCATCACCCTCACACAACTCAACACACTCCACCATCTCACTCAACATCACATCAAACACGAACATTGATGATAACACTACAGTTCACCTCTCTTCATCACCCTCATATAACCCAACACACACCACCATCTCACTCAACATCACATCAAACACGAACATTCACCACCACTCTGCAGTTCACCCCTCTTCATCACCCTCACACAACTCAACACACTCCACCATCTCACTCAGCATCGCATAGTGTTCGATTGTTTGTAACATGTTGCGCCATGGTAGTGTTCTGGTATAACTTCATAGTGGAATTAGGTGGACTGGTTGGGTTTGTGGTGGAATGTATGGGGATAGATGAATGGGGAGTATCATTTTGATGTTCAGATAGTGTGCGATGTTAAGCGAGGAAGAGCTTAGTTAGTATAACAAATTATGCATCAGGTTTATTTTGAATGAGTTGGACGACATGATTAATCAGTGAATGTGTAAGACGCATGTTTGGATTGAGTTTTAAATAGCGGTAATTGTTTGATGTGGTAAATGAACAGATATAACGTTTGAAGTGATTGTAATATTTATCAAGTCGTGTAGGTTTTGCTCGCGAAGTATACAGAAGTCGGTGAATGAATGCTTCCCGGTAGGTGACGTTTATTTTGAACGACGTTGATCATGGCTCGTGTCATTTACTACTTCGTTCAAAGGCGAGTACTACAGTAGAAATGTACGCAAAAGTGTAGATGGTTCTGGAATAAATAATATTCATAGTTAATTCGGATTTTGTAGTGAAGTATAATAGAGTACGTTGCAAGATTGTGGGGGAAATCGATGCGATATATGAACAATTTATTCATATCGCTTCCAGTCTGCTGAAGTCCAATATTTTTGTTCAGAAAATTTGTAGTGCTGAGATCGGGTGGTAAGAATATGTTGTATCGTAAGATTATGTGACAAGTGATGCTGCAGTATTGGCACAATTACTTTGTACTGCTATTTTGGAATTCCTATATCCAGGATATACGAATGTGATGTTTGAGAAAGTTACGCTTGAATCGAACAAAATTGATTCTGTTCATAGTGTACGCATATTTCTGTGATGACATATCAGATCTATATCTCAAAGCTCATATTCCGGGATCATATGAAGAAAGAACTGCTACTATCCATTTCCAACTTTTTTCATGGTCTTGTTCATTTATATTGTACACAAGACACAATTCAGTTCGTCGAAATCTGTTTGATCACGTGTGTTGATTAAATGAATGCTTATTATCAGTCATTTCTGTTCGTTAATAGTGTCATCATTGGTATCAATGGTTTTACTTAATTACGTGTGAGTATTGATGTGAAGATGTGAATAAGTTCAGTAGTACGATCTGTGCTAAATTTCAGTTCTTTAAACGAGAGTAAATCAATGATGATATACTGATTGGGGACCATATGGTGAGTGAATATCTGTTTACCAATCAATATTCTATTCTTCTATCCGATCTGACTCTCATAAAACATTCTGTATTTACTTCACTGGTTGCGGATTATATGAAAAATGAATAATTGTGACGACATTTACCGCATCTACTGCAAGGGCGGCCTTTACACCTGAGGTTCTCGTAGGTACCAGGTGCTTTAAATTCTTGGTGTTCTATATATAAAAATGTCAGTATAAAATTCATTCGAGAATGATATTTTCATTTTCGGATTAGCTTTCCTGTTTTAAACGTGAGAAGTAGAAATCTACCTACTAACATAATTATTTTCTGTGTCGGTTAGATTTCTGAGTGCAAAAGAAAATTTCCACTAATCATACCTTTCTGTGCTGGTTTAGTGCTTGGCTTTGGGGAACTAAAAAGAGACACGTTTTAATGTATATATTATCTGTATAGTTCACTTCACAAAACTCAGTAAGTAAAATCTTACGCTGTGAGTACATAATTCAGATATTACATCAACGAGCTGTAATAGCACTTCATCCTTTTACTATCGTACCTGTGTACTGTTTTGGTCACTGGTGGTGGTGGTGGATGAGGCACAACTATTTTGGCTGGTTTTGGAGGGTCCTAAGATAAAGAATGATTTAATGTTTGTAAAACATTCTCAAATATTTCAAAATATATGATTACTTTTGGCACAGGTTCTAACAGTGGGTATGGTGGATCGATTTCGCGAAGTTGTATCATGTAGAGGCCACCGGATTGATTGAGACATGCAACAACTTGAAATTGTCGAGCAGGTAGAAGAAGAATTTCGTTTTCGGTTTTGTATTGGGAGTGTTGTTGAATATCCTTCCCACTCTTGCATTCAATTGAAAAAAATGTTCTTGTTCCAGTTGAACCCAAGAACTGATCATTTTCCAAAACATCCATCGTTGTTCTACAGGAGCTGAATCCCCACCAGATAATGGTATCCCCTTTCTTGTACTGCTGTCGCATATCACATTTAACTCCTCGATAAACCGTACGCTGTTCAGAGGGCAGACGTGATAATGCGGTCAGGACCAGTTTCAAGTAAAGGAACCATGGAACTAGTTTTCGTCGATTTTCTTCACGAAGAGTTGCATTTGATACAAAATAAAGGCATTCTTCCTGTGGTTCCCACTCCATTGAGTACAAAATAATCGCAGCCGATTCATCCGTCGTTAGATCATCAGCTGGGGGACTATTGCATTTCATTTTGGCTACATATGCCATGCGTTTGACATCGGGGACGAATTGAACTAGAGGTTCAATAGCTTCTTCTAACGACACCACGGGCTTTCTCTCGTAACCTTGAATGGGTAAGAGCATTCGACGAGGTTCCCCAGTTATGTCAGAGAAGCGAAGATGATGTTGGAGGTCATCATCTTCAGAATACTTAGCTGCCATCTTACAAAAGTAAAAATAATACTAATCTTAAACAGAAAGAAAAATTCGCTCATCATAGATCTATGATCGAGAGATTTCTAACTATAGACTATCTTGGAAAAAGCCCGCAAATACAATAGTACTCACCTTCAATTGTCCTTGTAAACTTCTCCTGTTGTTTTTTTTTTGTCAAATTAAGCATATTTCGTTAGAAACAATGTGAATTTAAATATCAAGTCGTTTGTTTTCTTTCTGAGTCATGTTAAGATTATAGAATTTGCTCGTTCTG